GGGGGGGGAGCATTGGCTGCAATGTTGCAGTCGAGACAGGCCTGCCCTGCCTCTTGTCTGCCCCGAGGGGTTCCAGGCAAGCTGGTTCTGGACATGGGTTTGGACGGAGGGAATGGAAATGTCAAGCTGAAACACAGAGATACCGATCCAGGTTCAACATCACTTGAAAATGTCATATTTATTCATATTTCTTGTGCCCGCCTGTGAAGGCTATTCATATGCTTTTCTCCCATCCAGGATGACCCACCAGATCTGCCAGTTCTCAAAATTGGTTTTTCCAAAAGAACATGTTCCAGTCAGCGAAAAAGAGCTGATCTCTCTGACAGCGGGAGACAGGCTAATATTTTACTCCCTCGCCAACCGATAAGGGAGAAATGGCAGAAGCCGGTGCAAACGGAAAGGAGCAGCATTTGTTTCTGGAGGCTCTTTTCCATTCAGAATTAATGCATTGGGGATGGGCTGCGACTTATTTTTGACAAGACACCACTTTTCTGGTTCTTCCAAAATAAAAAAAAAGTTTTAAAAGGGAAAGAATGGAGCAGGTGGAGGAAAAGACCTGCTGACCCATTATTCACCTGCAGGAGTAGCCCAAAGGACTTCCGCTGTCCATTGACTTCCCCTCTCCTCACGGAAGAGGGAGGGAGGTCGTCGCCAGCAGGAAAATCTGACAGCAAAATCAGTGCTGGGTGAATTGGAAACGGGGCAGCGGGGGGGGGGCGAGGAGTAGGCAAGGAAGGATCCCAGCTTCTGCCCACCAGGACTGTATGATTTGACCGTTAACCCTCGGTGGGGCTTGTGGTGATTGGGGGTATGGGGGGGTGGGGGGGGGGCGAGGAGTAGGCAAGGCAGGATCCCAGCTTCTGGCCACCAGGACTGTATGATTTGACTGTTAACCCTCGATGGGGCTTGTGGTGATTGGGGGTAGGGGGGTGGGAGCGGCTTATGTGTTCTCATGATGAGGGGTCTAACCCTTTTTTGACACGTGGGTGGCTGGTTCTGCACCGTGGGATGTCCGCCTCCCTGGAGGTGCTGCTGCAAGGCCATGGTCTGAATACAGAATCAGAAAGAAGACATTCACGTCTGCTTTCTTTCTGAATGGCCAGGAATTTTTTGGGTCAGTGGGATGATGATCTTCCAGGCCACCTCATAATGTGGGCAAGTGAGGAATGTGTGCTCTAGTTTTGACCTCCCTTAAGGGACAGCTCCAAAGCCTTTCAGCGAAACAGGTATTTGCGTACTTGTTTCCTTCCCTTCAAGTACAGCAGAAGGGAGGGCTAAGCACCTTTCCTCGGTGAAGGCTCTTCCAAACCCTTCTACTTCAAGAGATGTTAAATAATTTTGTCGGCTCCACTGCGTTTTTGACGTAGGCCCTCATCATCATATTCTGTATGCTGGGAAGGTCCGCTTGATGTTCCATATCCTCAATTCCCCGCTTAACTAATTTTTCCCCCCGATCTGTTCCATCAGATAAGAGCACCTGAGGGGAAAGGCCGATTTTCAGCGAATAGCTCTGGACAGACTTCACCCAGTCGGACTGGAGGTTGTCATAAAATATCAAAGGAAATAGACGTTGTGGATTTAGATGTCCTTTTATCCATACATATATTGACAGATAGGATAACAACCCAGGCTTCAACTTTTAGGCAACCTGCCTCCAATCTTACCCTGGCATTTGACAAACATCTAGGGACCTGTAAGATAGTTCTTAAAAATTTAGATTGGATGCTTACCTTGAGGTGCAAAATGGGAGCGAAGCGGCCCCAGGGATGACCCATATAACAGTTGGGCCAGCGTCTTGGCCTTATAAAGTTTGAGGGCTGCTGGAACAAAGAACCCTCCTCGAGAGCGATGGAATTTTGGCTCTGCTCTTTGCAGATCTTTCTCCTTGATCTGCCGTGTATTTACTGTGTTGGGGCCTAGAGTCTGAGACCTGGAGAACTTGCCCAAGGGCTAGGATGCACGTGCGAGTTGCCCCTGGTGTGAACAACCTTGCGGTGACAACTCCAGCCCATGATTGTCCTTTCACAGCTGCGCTGGTAGGGTTTCCATCATCATGTCTGACATGGGACCTTCCTACAAGAGAGAATGTGTTCTCCTGGCATAGCAGGATTTTTTCCATATCCCACAGGCGTCAGGTAAAAGCTTTATTAATTTATCTTGTACTATGATAGGTATGTGTATACATGCTTACCCTTTCAGTACATTCAGCAATTCCATAATATTTTCCACTTAGCTGGGGCAAATTCAGTCTGAAAAAAATCAGCCAAACATTATGTCCTGGTTATAAAAACTTCTATGTCTACTTTAAAATTCTGTGTAATTCATATGGGGCGGGAATGTATTGCTGCCATTTTTAATCACTCCTGTATAAAAAGAATGCTTAAATTCTGTAAAGTATACATAATCTAAAGTATGCATCTGATTCTAATACCTTGTGAAACACAAGATGCACAAGAATGTAAATTGTATTTTTTGGCATGTGTTATGAAACAAGAAATACAGCCACAGCATTAGCAAACTGATTTCAACACCCTTGCACTCCCCCCTGCCGCCGCCCCCCATGTAGGTAACTGACCTGCCACTAAAACGGGCTGATGTCCATGCTTGTCTTCTTGGCCACAAGCAGCATTAGCTTTATCCAGCAAGCCAAAATGTGCAGGATCTGCTGCCTCCAACTGACACACTTAAAACTTTGCATGAGCAAGTGTGATTTTCTGCCCAGCCTCTTTGCTCAGCAAAAGATAACTTGCAGTTGGGTAACCACCTTTAGACCAGTCGCCCAACAGCTAGCAATCTTTATGCTACATTCTCGTTAGACAGAGTGGCCACTGAAGTCATGGCTTCTTCCAGGAGGGGCGGGTGTGTGTAGAGTGGCCACTGAAGTCATGGCTTCTTCCGGGAGGGGCGGGGGGGGGTGTCACCAAGTGGCCACGTTAAAAAACAGGCTACAGGGCACTCTGTCCGAGTGGTGCTTCGAAGTGACATTCACGCTGTTGTGAGACTGCTTTGCTGCTGTTCCCGGGCTGAGAGGCAGTTTTTTCAGTCGGCAACAGCACAGCCTCCCTTCCACAGTACGTCATGAGTGCTGTGCTGAAATTGCATTAGACGGACAGCCAGTCTGCTGTTGGCTGAGCCCATCTGGTCCCACTTAACAGCTTTTATGGGCAAGACATTGGGGGGGGGGCTGGGGAGTGCTCTGCTCCTTCTGGGGCACTGCATTCCAAGGGAGATGCTGACACATGACGAAGGGCGTCTAGGAAAGGGAGGAGGGTGACAGCGGCCATGATCCAATGTGACTTCCCCTTTGTGCAAGCCTCCTCTAAACAAACACTTTTGCACAGCTCCCCTTCGTTTCAAGGGAGTCTCCTTGATTCTGCCCAAACATTCCAGGGGAAGGTCTAGGTGAGTCTGTGTTGCTAATCCTGGGCCACTGGACGCTGACCAGGTTAATCTGCAGTATCGGCATTCAAGAGACAGTGCATTGGCATGTCATTCAAGTCACCTATTTGGGCATTTGACATCAGATTATCCAGGTGTTTTACATGGTTAAGGAATTCAAGAAGAGTTAAAACACAAGGTTTGAAAAAGCTTATAATTATGTACACTTAAGCACAAATACCACAAAGATAATATACAAGTAGATGGCTGGGTTAAAAGCAAATTGGAAGGCTTTATGCATGAACTAAACGTGGCTTACTCTCATATCATATATGACTGCAACCTGGAAAAGTCTTCAGAAAATCAGAAGGTCTTTCCTTGGCTGTGGTTTGACATTAAAACTGATGCTGTAAAGCCTCTTTACAAGAGAATTCTGGAATTGGGGCACTACAATCAAGAAGGGCTTTTCCTTAGTGAGCATCTGCTGTCACTCCTCATCTTGTGGAGCAGGGTGGGGGGCAAAGAGAAGGTGAAGAGCCTGGGGTCCGAGTAGGGCCATGTGGAGATAAGGGATCCTGCAAGTCTCAAGGGTGGCAGCCACAGACCGCCTGTAGCCTATAATAGCCTTTACATACCCTTTCTCACCAATCTGATAGGGAACGGGGAAAAGGGTCCCTGGCTGCTCAGATAGGTTGTTTTGCTTTTTTAAAAATAATAAAAACAGATGGGCCTCCATAATATCTTGGCCTTCCCACAGCAAGAGGAAATTCAGGCAGAGGTGAAATCCAGAGCCCATCAGGATCTGGAAATCGTCAGCAGACGGGTCCCAATAGAAATTCTAGGCAAAGCCTTGTTTCGTGTTTCTGCCTCCTGCTGCCGCCAGCCGCCCTGAAAGAATATAGTCATATGCAGATGCCAGAAGCCAGAACTTGGGAAAAGTTGCTTGCTTCCCTCTGAATGAAACAGATTGTTTCTACTCCTTTGGAGTTACATTTCTGCTTTGCATTCCTTCCATCACCATCAGATGAACCACAGGAAAGCAAATCACAGCTGCCAGAAGGGCTTCCCTTGAAAATTGCGCTTTCCCAGCTGCAGCAGGCTGGCCACCTGCTTCACTGCTGCAAAGGAGTAGTAACTGATTCTCTGCATGGCAAAGCCCTTGTAGGCACCTATCAGTCTCAGGTCTGCGAGCCTTTCCAGTACAGTAGGTTATGCAGGGAAGGCTTTGTGGGTTCATGGGGAGGGTGGGGAATAAAAGATGTAACTCTGGTGTAAATGGATCAAAGGTTTACTATATCTCACTTCTTTCTTCTTGTCTTTTCTTTTTAGAGTATTCAACAGCTTTGCTTGGATTCTTATTCCTGCCAATAAAATAATTTGCCAGGGATTGAAACCTAAACAATTACAATTTCTATTCCTTCTGTACACAACATCTGAGGCCCTCCGCTGTGTTGGGTTATAGCAGGAATCTGAATTAAAAAGGCATGCAGAGAGGAGTATTAAGAGACCACTCCCTGCTTTGAAGCTCCCTCAGGTCTTACAAAGCCTTGTTTCCTTTATTTAATATGATACAAAGGAAATCCAGCTCTTTGTTTGCAGTAGGTCCTAATGCATCCTTATTTGAGAGCAAGCCACCTGAAATTCAGTGGGAGGCATTTCTGAGCACGCACACAAAGGCTTCCTGACCTGGAATGAGTAGGGGTTTTGTTTAAAGCCAGCATGTCATTAGTTCAGAATCACACCTTGCACCACCACTGCCCAAATGGATTGATAATGTTCAGTAAACCTGAACAGATCCTTCAGATACTGAAGGCCCCAATCTTTCATTGCTTGGGAGCAAGCCCTGTTGAACACAGGGGGGTGCTGTACATGCTCACCCGGGAACTGAAACCCTCAGGCCTTACTTTGCCGTTGACATGGTTAGGATTGGGGTCCATGCCTATAAATAGATATTTGCTCATTAGCTACAGATAGTTGCTCCTGCCGGAGACCAAGACGTTGTAGACATTTTGTCATCTCCCTTTTTGACAACTGCGGTGACTTATTGATTGTTTCTCTTGCCTCATCCATCACTGGCTTAGTCTATTCCAAAGACTGTGACATATTTGATTTCCCCCTCTGCATTCCACAAGACTGGCAGCAGTATCTTTAAGTAGCTGCCTGCCTCCAAATCAAATACTGTATATTAACTGTTGTCATCATTACTTAAACTTGCTTACACACCAGTCCGAAAATGCTGACATGCCTAATGTTGTAAAATAGATGAGCCTGTACTTGGACAAATCGGTGGAGGAAGAGCAGGACACGGATGTTTGCTTGTTCCAACCACATTCGCAGCTAACTTTGGTGCTGAACAGAAGATCTATCCGGGCACTTACGCAAATGCCTTTTGCATTAATTGATAAGCATCCCATTCCCATCCTACTTTTCTTCCAACAGATCCCCACTTCCAATATATGTGGAAGGTTGTACAGGACCCTGCCTTCTACGAGTGCTCCTGCACTACAACGGGGTCTCGTTTTCTCCTTACAGCAACAGCCTGAGGAGGTGCGTTAGCCTGAAAGACTGAGTGATTTCCCCCAAAGTCATCTGGTGTGTTTCCTGGCTGAGCAAAGCCTTCGGATCCTGAACCTGCCTTCCCCACACCTTGCACAAACATTCCAGCACCACTCGATACGGGGAAATGTCTAGCATTTTTGCTAGAACAAAAAGAACAGCTCAAATGGCGCTGTTGAAAACTGTGCTTCAAAAGTGATTTGAGAATTGAATTTTCACACCACTCGAAAGGCAGGTACACTTTTAAGAGTGGTGTTTCTGCAGCATTAAGAACTTCTGTCTGCCTAGGAACTGTTTCACTCGCAGTCAGATGTCCGAGCATTGCATGAAGTTATAATAGGCTCTGGACTCAGCACACAACCCATGGCAATTAAATACTTACAGATGCAAAACTGCCTGAGCCGTTCTTTCAAGAAAAGCAGGCCTTGTAAAGAATATACGCGAGACACTTCACAATGCTGGAGGACAGAGATTGTCTCTTGTATGGAATCAGCATCCACCGACACCCTGGAAATGTTCAGACCAAAAATGATGTTGAAATTCAATATCCACCCAGACATTTGCTTGAGATTTGATCCTCAGAAAATGCTTTAAAATCAGACTGGGAAACAAGGAAAGCCAAAACTCTCCTGCAAGAGTGGTTAACCCTTGGCCCTTCTCAAGATGGCATTTGCCATCTAGTGTGACTATAACTCCCATCTGGTAAAGTTTTGACAGAGGTACTGTAGTCCCTTTCTGTGTGCATAATAAACCAAACCAAATTACAGTATATGAATAAAATAATGGAAACAGAAGTACTGTGGCACCTTTAAGACTGACAGATTTATTTCTGTGGGAGCTTTTATGGATTAAAAATTCAACTCATCAGACACGAAGTGAAATATTTAGACACAGGAAGATGAGGAAGACGAATTGCCATCGAACGCTCGTTGTATGTTGTTTGCTTGATTTTTTTTAAAGTGGTCTAATATATGTATTCCCTGCTTCTGCATTTATAGTTCTGGAGAAAACACAGCCCTTTTCTGATTATTTAGAAACAGTTTTGTATTAGAAGTAGGTGGGGGGGGGGTGCAGAGAAGAGTCCTGAAGTGAGGGATGTGGGTGCAGAAAGTGCAATTTCAAAGTGACGGTGGCACAATTAAAACAAGTAGTGAACCCGTGAGAGGACGGAGAGCCCACCAACTCCCATCCTGGCACCACCAGAGGCGTCCAAGGCCTGGCCTGGGAGCTTTTTGAGGGGCAGAACTGGAGAGCCAGGGAAAAGGCGCCATCCTAGGGGTCCAGGCCCCTTCTGTCGGCAGCAGCCAAAAGGCTCCAGAGAAATAACAGCTCTTTCCCCCCCTCCCCGCCGCCGCCAAGACGAGG